TGTTCACAATATCAGTAATATTTTCAGAGCTTTCCAATTTTAAATATATATATATATATATATATATATATATATATATATATTAGTGAACTATATTTTATCTTACGTATCATGAATCGTACTTAGTTTCAACTTGTTCTGTGTCGAGCTGTATATTAATAGTTCGTCGGAGCGGATCATTAAGTCGATCTTTGTTAGTCCAACTGTATGATTGCAATTGTTATTCATGTTTGTGCATTACTGGAGTCTCAATTCTATAATTATCAGCCACATGGCCTCAAGCGATTGACCCCAATCCGTCCTTAAAGCTAACAACATCGTGTAGTATTTTTAATTTCTATCATTCCCTGTAACGCCAGCTGCATTTGCTCTGTTCTTAGTGCATTCAATAGTCCGGTTAATTCATGTTTTCAATTTGTTTGTATAACGTTTGTATCAAATACATCGTCATTTATGATCACAATTGTTTTTTATTGTATTTAATTTGAATTTCGTCATTTTATTATGATTTTTATGACGTGTGTTATTCGATAAAAATTTCTTGTTATGTTTAACCTAAATTGTATGTTGGGTTGATAACTGATAGTGATCGCGATTAACGGTTTTTATTTCGATAGTTTTTACTCTATCAATTTTTTTTAACATTACTTTAAATTTAACGTCTTAGAACAAATTTATTATTTTTTATTTATTCATTTATAAAAACACAATTAAGAACGAATGCAAATGAAAAATAAATATAAAAGCTATCCGTTGAATTTACGACAAAACTTGACATAGATATATGTATTTGATTCTAACATTGTATTATGAAAATGATCAAACGACTTACGCGACGCCGGTTCTCCTTGAACCGAGGTGGAGCGTTCCTCAAGTACGTACCGTCGGTAACATTGCTACATAACACTAACATTTCGTACGCTGGATGTTTTTCTCGTTTATGTTCTCACCGCTCGTCGTGTGTTACATCATCCTTCTCGTGTGTTTACTCAAGATTCGCCCTATTGACGGACGCTGCCATAGCTCACACCACTGACCCTAATACCGCCAGCTGAGAGATATCAAGTCAGATGAGCGTTTTATGTTTTTTTTCTTTTGATCGTCTCTAACACGCCGATTATTACCGATCTATACGTTCTATACGTCTCGTTTGTTTAACGCTCGTGAACATTCTCAATTCGTTCCATTCTTACTTACCATTCTTAATTCGGAGTTTATTCTTGTATATTCTTTGTCGTTTTACGATATCGTTACCAATCAGCTTATATCAACCTTGATACAAAATTAATAATATAAAATACTTCGCTAGTGTTGGTGAATTTTTACTTAATTGAACGGCTTATGCAAATTTTCTTTGTGTAAGTGATTTGCATGAGACAACCGTGACCCATTGGGACTAAGAATAGACACGGAAGGAAAGCTGGCTCGCTATGGACACGTGCTCCACTGATCAAACTGACTGGACAGACTTACAGAGAGAAAGAGAGAAACAGAAAGAGAGAGAGAGATGGGTAAAGTCACGCGACACACGCAGTTGAGTGCTCGCAGACGGACTAATTAGCAAACAACCCCATTTGTAGGACTCTCTAGAGGTGTGAATGCATACAAATGTTTAACCATTTCTAGCTCTGTTTGTCAAACGTCTCAACCTAACACATCAGATATTTTAATGTGTTCTACATACAATACTTCTTATTTGTTTTAGAGTCGTATAATGTACTGACCTCCTCGTATATATATATTATGATTTATATATTATATATATATTTTAAATTTCAGTGCCACATTAACACTAAAACCTTATTCTATCGACACATACATGGTTTAATGTGTAAAATGGAAACACGTCACACGCGATAATCGCGCAAAACATTAATCTTATAATATTTTTTCCACTGTTATTATGATAATTATTCTTTGGAAAAAAACCGTCAAGTCCACATAAATTATTATTACTATCAGAAGGATTTACATTATGCATTTGTTGCGATACAGTAATTTGTTTTGAAATAAAAACGTTTTTTGTAAACAAGTTGATTTTTTTTATTGATATTATAAGATCTTCTCGAATGATTATTATTATTTCGTTTTTATCTTCGATTTAGATCATTTGAAGGTCGGAGCAGTTATCCAAGCACCTTACAATTTATCTGTAAATTTAAACTTCTAAAAGCAATAGATAATTTAAAAACTTTGTTCACTGGATTAACAAAAACTGTTTAAATTTAACATTACGTTTTTTTCATTAAGAACAATACAAAAAGAATATTGAATATAAAGTGTATTATTGTAAACAATGACAATTATATTATCATGAGAGTTCAAAATTCTTTTGATTATTCTTTATGCGTAGTTTAAACTCTTTCTTTGGGTCAGTTATCAAAGCGTTTCGTCACTCGACCCTCAAGCCTTATCACAGCTGTCGGTCTCTTGATAGTATTCGTGTGCGTCAATATCTGTTTACTTCGCGCCTTACGCGGATTATCTGCAGGCAGTCGGATGTTATACACAGTGAGGAAGTATCTTGAAGATACGATTTGATATGTTTCTATATGATCCTTTACTATCTATCGGTCGTAGGTCATGGATATAACAAAGAGTATACGTACATGTGTATGTACAGTATACACACATTATACGGAATACAGCATTGTATGTTAAATACACTGTCAAAATATAAACATCTGGTTACTGTAACGTATTTATGAACCATCACCTGCTGCTTGAATATACATTAAAGTGTGTCATAAATATAAATAGCACATTGTTTTTGTACTGAACAAATAACGCTATATATACGCTATATATATATACTATATATACATATATATAAGAATAATGAGATAATATAACACCTCTTTGAGTCTGTGTGTGAAAACACTCGCCAGTGGAATGACTGAACGATATTGTTTGTTGCTTATACGTTTTAATCTCAAAAGTAAGTTATTATAATATTCTACACTATTTGAAAAAAATCTATGTACATAGAACATAAAATATTTCAAAACTTGTTTGTAAACAGTGTGAAGGTTAAAAAAATATCCAATTAGTATTTCATTGTACGCGGTGATAAAATTAATTAACAATCCGATAGTGAGCACAGTGCTGGGTGTAAACAAAACATTTTATATATTAATTGTGTCATAACTAGCCTCACTGGGAACAGAGGCGAGAGCGTTTGTTTTTTGTACTACGAAACCATGAGCCGATGATGTCATGTAAGTCTACAGCCGACGATACGTTAGACTCCCGTTTACTTATTCATGACATCAAACCTGTTGTTGTTTTGTTTGTGACACGAATTTATTATTATTAACATTAATTTTTGTTGTTATCCTTCATGTTATTATAATAGTGATAACGAAACTCGTTGTTTCTATCCGGCTATGTTATTCAGATAATATATATTTTTTATAATGTTTTTTTATCTCTCTATGTTATATTGATTTATAGGTATCGATGTATATAAAGCATACATTACAGTGATCACGTCTGTACGTATATATGTAGGCGTTTTATTTTTATATAATAATTTTGGATAATTTGTCAAAGTCCTGGTCGATTGTTTTCTGTTAAACTCCTTCCTTTATTCACGATACATACCGCAGTTTGAATTTAAAAAGTCGGCGAAAAAGTTCAGTGCACTCTCCATGTGGACGTTGCACCATTTAACTTTATTCCATGTATCGATATACAGTGTGTTGTACATATCTGTATACAGTGTGTTCTGTATGTGTTGTTAACATCATTTCTCATGTGATCCTTATCTTAGCTACTTCATCATAGAGTAGTCGGGACAGATTAGATTCCGTTGCTTCTTTGTTTTGTTCCCACATAACATTGTCTCATGTGCGTTTAGAGATTTATAACATAACTTGATATTGTTCATTTATTGCCTTCCTATTTGAATCAGATGTACTAGTATATATAGTGAGAGAGGTTCGTATAGTCTATCAGCTGTTTATTGGTCACTTGCATCTTCCGTCCGAAGGTCGAGGCCGCCCACGTTAAACGGCTCTCATCCTGTTTATTTTAATCGCTTCTAATTATAAACTAAACTCGGAAAATTTATCTGGCACCACTTTTAGTTTGACGTCCGCAGTCCGAATGCAGCCGAATGTACCCTGACTCACTCGCCTCACTGAAACTATACATTCCTTGTAGCTGTAGGCGGACACACGAATAACCTCAGACATCACAAACATATGGATAATAAGAATTCTTTAGATTTCATTCCATACTGTGACATTGTGATATATTTTCTAGTGCTCTATTATATACAATAAATCACATTTTATTGTCAGTTTATCCTCATTCCTTTTGTTAATTATCGTAATTAATTCTGATTTAATTCTGATTAATATCACATAAGTATCCTTAAAGAACTTGTTTTATAATGCCGTAGTCTTTGTACACAAACATGATAACTATATATGACTATGTATTTAGACGTTTTTTTTATTATTGGATTGAATTTCAATAATGTAATATATTTTAAAGTTTTATTTATATCGATGAGAAGTTGTTCTGTTTATTCACCAAATATAGACTCATTCATTGGCGGAGATACTAATAGGTTAGTTATTTACGGAGTAACTTATACCTCTGTTAATATTTTGGCTAAACTAAAAGAATCGTGTACTAACACTTGAATGTTCTTCATAAAGTACGATATAAAATTGTGTATATGATTAAAAAATTACAATAATATTTATTGCATCGTTGTGTTTTGGTTGCCATTTTTAATCGAGAACTGCTTTGTTGATATCCAATGCGGCCAAGTGTCGTACACACTGGTCCCTCGTGGCGGTGACGTGTGCGCGTCCAATTTAAATAGGACTTGCGCGCGCGCAGACCACCAGTCGCCCCGCGGAACTCACGCGAGATACAACCGTCCTACAAACAACACGTCGCGATAACAACACACGTTAGCAGTCGCCAGTCGTGTACGGACCGCCGTCCTATACACACGTATTAAAACATCACAGTCTCATATCAATATGATCGACGTTATAAAACCCCGCGATGGCTGCCTCTACGAGATCAGACAGAAGGGACAGAGGGATCCCTGTTACGTGGTCGTCCCTGATACAACAGTACGTTAACATTGTGTTATTGATTTTCACACATTTGTGATATAAGCAATCGGGTCGACTCTTTAAATCAGCGTACATTTACATTTATGGACATCGCGAGCGCGTCTTATTTATATAAACGGCGTAATATATTTTTATGTAAATTTTCGTCTGTGATTCTTTTAAAACGAATTTGATTTTTGAAATAACGTTATAATTTATTTCTTTTTGAGTAAATTTTATTTTTGCTTTGTGTTATTACAAATATATTCATATGTCGTGATTTTTTTTCCAGGATCTGGTTAAGAGCCACTTAATGTTCGCGGTGCGTGAGGAGGTGGAGGTCCTCAAGGAGCGCATCGCGGAACTCATGGAAAGGATCAACCAGCTCGAGGTCGAGAACAGCTACCTGCGGGCCCACGCCAGCCAGGACACGCTGGCCCAGCTGCCGGCGGTCGGCTCCAAGCCTCCGCCGCAGCCGCAGGGCCCGCAGCCGCCGGTGTCGTAGGCCGGAGCACGGGCCCCTGACGCTGCCCGCCGGCCCCGTCGGCCTCTCCCCTCGGCCCGCGCCCCGGGACCACTCAGTATGGCTGTGTTGTGTTACTCGCTAAGCTAACACGTCCCGCCCCGGGGCGAGCGGCGACCGGCGCCCGCACTCGCCGGCGCCAACCATATTATGCTTGGATATAAAAGAAATATATTTTTCTGTTATGTAATGTTTTAGGGTGCAGAATTTCGTGCTAACTGCCACGTTTTATTTCGCTAGGCGTCTCACAGACCGCCCCCGCTCGGTCTGTCCGATGACTGTGTATGTACGTCCACACAACCACCGCGCCTCCTCAACGTATATTATCCTAAAGGAATGCGACCTTTGTTGTTTTATGAAATGTAATGATTGTTCGTAAACATTGAACGATGACTGTTAATTTATTTTGTTTATTGTAGTCGTGTAATTTAAGTTATTTATCTGGTTTTAAAGTGTTTATATCCTGAGAGTGTCGTCGTGTTATTATCGTAGGGACCTCTCGGACCCTCTCGGTCGCCGCGGCCTGAACCCCGCCGGCTGTGATCGACGAACTGATTGTGCTTCGAACTTCAGTTTGCCTTTTTGATATATAATAGAGGTAGTGCTTCGTTTTGATGTAATCAAAAGTAAAACAATTATATAGGATCTTCTACGATTAGTGATCTAGGCTTGAGTTAGCGTTGTAACTAAGCGTTCGGGTGCGGACTCTAAACAGAGCGAGTCTGAATTATGTTCACTATTAATAGACGTTTCCAGCATCCAAAACCCTCAACCCACAACCCTAACCCCCAACCCCCATACATGATGTATGAATTAAATGTAACATCACTAGTTGTAAGTTTTTTTTTGTTGTTGTTAAATTCTGAATCCGCTTGGGATATGATTATTGTAAAACAAATATACTCCTTAATTATAATTTAGCTTTCAGTATCGTAATGTTCAGTATTTCTTCCTCCCTGCACGTGTAATGATCTGTCAATAGTGTGTTGTAAGGTAGGGTTAATGTAACAATACTGTATCGGATGCTTCGTCAGTGAGACTCGCCAACAACTGGCTTTACTAAATTTTGCACGCTGAATTTAAACGAAAAAAAAATTATATAAAAAAAATTATATTATAATAAAATAAAAATATTTTTTATTCCAACAATATAAATGATATATGATAGTGGTTATAGTTTATCTTTTCGTGTCCCGTTGATTTAAATTTGTTTTGTATATAGTACAAGTCTTGATGGTTAACGTGTTCGTGTAAATAATGTTAGTGTAATGTCTAGAGCTTGTCAGTGTAGGTTCGACTCTGGGCCGTGACGCGTGTCTGATAGGTTATGCTGTAATTAAATTCGCTTTAATGATATATATTATTTTGAATAATCGAACAAACGCTGGGCTGACGGCTCGCACCGATATATAACTATTAAATAGAATAGTATTTTGTACAAGGCAACATATGTGTATAGATGTTTATGAGATCTTAATTATTGTGAATATGCAGTAATCTACTCCATTACTAGTTATGAATTATAATACTATTACTGATAATGTAAATATATAATGTAAACAGAATGTCCATGTAGCTCATGTTGACCAGAAGGTTCCTCCTACCCAATAAATGCAAAATTGCTCGAAATATACTCTTCTTTATTTATACCCCTACCTTATATTCCTTTACAGAGATTTACCATAGAATCATGTTTAAAACCAAAGCTGTATTAAATAGAAGAATAAAATCCCTACTAATATTATAAATGCCAAAGTTACTCTGTCTGTCTGTCTGTGACGCTTTCACGCCTAAACCACTGAACTGATTTTAATGAAATTTGGTGAAGAGATGGAGTTGACCTTGAGAAAGAATATAGGATAGTTTTTATCCCAGACTTTTGAAAGGTTCTCTTGGAAACGCAATATAACCGAACTCCACGCGGGCGAAGCTGCGGGCGGAAAGCTATTAATATTTTAAGTTCTCTTGAAAAATAGATTTTGATATAAAAAGTGTCAGATCACTTATTTCAAAGCATTCGTTTGTCACTGCAACGATTTAAATATGGTACACACCCAAAAATATCTACGAATTTTTATTTTATTATTGTTCCTCGCGTTGGCATCTACTCACGAAAATATCAAAAAATATATAAAAGCTTTGCCCTGGGGAGGTATACCAGGTGATGTCATATTAAATAGTTTTTGATGCCATTATTGTTAATAAAGTTAAAACCTAATCAATAATTTTAAAATGAAGTCGCAATTTTTAAAAGATCAATTTATTATGATTGCTGCCATCTATGTGTCGTTTCTTTATTTAAAAAGATGTTACAATATAACTCCAGAGATGGCGCTGTCTCATATGTTCTTTGTTGAAAAAATTGTGTAATGTATTAGATACCGCGAGAGAGCGCAGAAATAAAAATTCTATTTTTGTTTATAAGAAATTAAATTTAGTTCAATACTCTATATCCAAATTAATCCGTCAGTAGATGACTATGACCCTATTTCGAGAATAAACATCTGTTTCCTGTCTAGACGTAACGTAATTCTATTTGATGTCTCTAAAAAAGAATCTAAAATAAAACAGTAAAACTATCATATAGATGAAGGAATTAAATATGCTGTAGGAATTACTTTTTCTCTTTGTAGTGGTGAATTACTAATACAGATGTATATAATTAGTGTAAAAATGTAAATTATATGAAAGCAATCAATAATACTGCTTATTTTCTTATCTAAGATAGAAAACCTTTTTTCTCTAATTAACTTTAATGATAGAGATCTTCTTTTCCGTTCAATATTGCAAGTTGCAAAAAGTCTACATTGGATTACTAATATTTAGATATCGGAAGCATATTAAAGCTTGATATTATTATAGTTGATATATTTAAACTTTTGACTTTCAGCCTTAATATTACAGCTACTTGACGTAAGATGGCGTCAAAAATATTTTTGCAGATCTAGTCCTTTATAAAAATTTAATAATAGTAATATAAAAAATTAAATATTAAGTTTAACATAATAATAAATCTTTATATATATATTAAGGAACTTCGTTCGGATTTTTAAAAATAAAATAACAGTAAGATATTTGACAATTTGACTATGCGATATTAATTAAAATGAACAAATATAAAAGGTAAATAAAGGAATGAAATGATAACCTGCTAACTCCAGTTAAACAACAATTAAAGTACTTACAGAGTAATATCCTTAAAATAGCCTTAGACTAATTACTAAACCAATATTAATAGTCGAAAACCCATGAGCGATGTTGCCTCGACGACGGACCACCAGAAAGTGCAGATGTTTCTTTTTGCGCACTGCTTCTATTTTGTTTCTTTTCCAAGGAGTTCCTAACTCGGCTTCTATTTTGTTTCTTGACCAAGGAGTTTCCTAACTCGGCCTCTCCTGACTCTTGGTCGTCCTCGGCCACATTCTCTCTGTTTTTCAGTAGTAGCCTCGCCTACTGCGCCACCTTCCCGATCTTCGTCTTCAAGGTTTGGCATAGACGATCCGGCCGAAGCACCTTTAACATTGTCATCCTGAATTTTGAAATAACATCACCATTACTATCGGAAACATTATTGTTTGCATGAGTGTAGTGTCCAAATGGTTTTCAAATAAACAAAGTAATGTAAGCTAAACGGCATCCAAGACAGATAAAGTGAAAATAAAGAAAAAGGTGTGAAATCGACGGTATCCCAACAATTTCACATCCCCACAGTACATTACCATTGTCGGGTGACTCACGCCTTTGAAGGGCTACCAACACCATAGAAGTGCAGCTCATGCCAATGCGACTCACGCAATCGGCAACTTCCATCACTGGCGGCTCCCGTCAGTGGCGACTCCCGTCAGTGGCGACCAACGCTGATGGCGGCTGATGCAACTGAGGACAAACGTTAAGGGCGACTAACGCCCGTGCGACTAACGCACATGACGACACACGTCAAAGGCGACTAACGCCAAGGCGACAAACGCCTATGCGACTAACGCAACTGACGACACACGTCAAAGGCGACTAACGCCAAGGCGACAAACGCCTATGCGACTAACGCAACTGACGACACACGTCAAAGGCGACTAACGCCAAGGCGACAAACGCCAATGCGACTAACGCAACTGACGACACACGTCAAAGGCGACTAACGCCAAGGCGACAAACGCCTATGCGACTAACGCAAACTGACGACACACGTCAAAGGCGACTAACGCCAAGGCGACAAACGCCAATGCGACTAACGCAAACTGACGACACACGTCAAAGGCGACTAACGCCAAGGCGACAAACGCCAGTGGTGATGAGTAGACTTGCGTCTTGAACTCCCACCCGGCAGCCGGTCAATGAGACGCCTGCGGTGTCTCGAACCTCCACCAGCTGCAGGCCAGCGGGATGTCCCCGTCTGAGAACAGTCGTTAAAAGAAAATGAGCAAAGTGACAAAACAGTTCAAAAATTTCACCATCGAATACTATAGCACCAGTATCTGGGCACCATTCTAAATTCCATGGCATCACACGTTGAGTGGTTGGTTGAGCTGATTTAAGAGCATTACATTACATTGGATTACAATTTTAAACTGGATGCCAACTAGATTGTGGTGGAAATATTTTAAGGCCCTGACCTTATTTCACTATTGTAATTAATCTCTATTTCATGTACCGCGATCATACACGAATGCGGGATTACGCGCCCCAATACGAAAAATATGTCGTACTCATAACGAATTTTCTCAGGTTGATATTCTACGTCATAACTCTGCCGCGTTTCACAGCAAGTTGCGGGACGTATTATTGAAAAAAGAATAAACCACCTAGCAGTCCTGTTTTTTCATTTACATTGACTGGGAATTTAGTTTAGTTTGTTTTAAGTATTGGATATTCTCTGCACATTCGTCATCGCTCCCTTCACATACTAGATTAGGTTTACACATCGCCTTTCAAATTTATTTATTAGTGAGGTACGTGCCCAAGCATCCTCTTATTTTTACTTAGTT